GGACAGAGAGGTGCTAGCTGCTCCGACACCTGACTCCTTCCTGAAGCGTGGCTCTGGCCCCCACCCCTGACACTGACTAACCTGATACCAGAAAAAACTGGTGTGTGTGTGTGTGTGTGTGTGTGTGTGTGATCACATCAAAAAGAGGGAAACGCATTTTCCCCCAAACAAAAAGTGACAACGGCTTTTAAAAAAATGCCAAATGTGTTCATGTGCAGCCAGATGTCAAGGTGCCGTGTGACAGCTGCAAGAGAAGTACAGGGAGGCTTGATGTGCAAAGGGAGCAGCAGAAAAATAGAAAGAAACCGCTCCCTGGCATGCCCAGAGCTGCAGACCCCGCCTGCTCTCCCAGCTCTCTAGACAACAGTATGAGCAAGGGGCTAAGAACACACTTATTCTCTGCGGTGTGGTGGGGAGTCTCAACAGCTACCTCTCAATACTTCCATCCTGTCTCCATGGTATGGCTGATGTATAAGAGAGTAAACTCGATTTGTGCTAACAGCAACACTTGGAACGCATAGGGTTGAGTTCTACAAATAATAACTGAGTACCTACTAACTGGGGAGAAGAACACGAAAGATCAGAGACAGAGCTTAATTTCAGTGGAGTCTGAGATGATGTCACATCTGAGGACACATCTGAGCAGAGGTCAGGGGGACACCATGGTTCCAGCTGGTGCTGGCCCAGCAGCACCCCATGGCTGATGCTCAGAGCGTAGATAGATAGACAGACAGACAGACAGAGCGAGCAGGAATGAGGAAGACAATAGGCCAAGATGGCACTGATTCTTCTTCATACATTTTATGTTTTGGGCCTGGGTTTGTTTTGTATTTTTCTTTCTTCAGATTTCTGTCACAGTTCCCTTTTCCTGTGCGCCCGGACAACTTATACAGGGGGAGAGATAATCCCACAGAACGTTGTTTCCATTTGACTCTAATTAAAAAAACCCTAGTTATATGCTTTATTATAAAGCAATCTGGTGTCTAGGTCTATAACAACCCTCTGGGGCAGTGTGGGTAGCTTCAGAATGTGCACAGACATTTCCAGAAAGGCCTCTTCATCTCTTTCTGTTTGTTTTTTTGGAATCTCTAGAGAACACAGCTGGATCCTGCTGCCATTATAGCTACTACAAGGCCCCAGTTACAGCTCTCCTAGGTCTCAGATGCCTTACTGGCTTCTAGCCTTGAGGCCCCAGACAATGCAGGACCTGATAAAAGATGCCCTTATATGGAATCTTGAATTGTGAATCTGGGCCTGTGCTGGTCTGCAGAATAACTTCAAGGAAGATGTGAAAAGATTTAGGAAAACCTGTTTTTTTTTTTTTTTTTTTTTTTTTTAAAAGGATTTAGTTTAATACTTATTTATTAATGTGTGCAAGCACGTGTGTCTATCAAGCATATGCAGGTTCCTATGGAGGCCAGAAGAGGGCATCAAATCCTCTGGAGCTGGAGTTGTGAGCTGTCCAATGTGGATGTTGGGAACTGAACCCAGGTCCTCTGGAAGAGCAGCAGGTGCTCTTAACCACTGAGCCATCTCTCCAGCTCCAAAGCCTCCTATTTTAACATCTGGCTTTCATACTTCTTGGTCATTCTCTGCAGTTCAATCTACTACAAATGAAATCTTAAAACTCAAGGGCTCTCATATACTCAACAGGAATGTTCAGAAGTCCCAGTGGATACCAACATTGAAATTCTTTTTTCTTTTCTTTTCTTTTCTTTTTTTTTTTTTTTTTTTTTTTTTTTTTTTTTTTTTTTTTTTTTTTTTGTGGTCTGGCTGAAAACCTTGAGTGCTTTGATTTTCTCTCCTGGGGACAAGAGTGCTAGCCATGTAGCAAATGCTAATCATCTCATGATTAATGTGATGTTGTGCATTTAATTTGATGACCCAGACATTATTTTGGTTAGGAAAACCTTTTTTTTATTGACTTGGTATATGGTGTATATTCTTTTCACTCTTCCAGAAGCCCACTTAAATTACACCTGGGAAGGGAAGCCTCACTTACACGCCTTTCCTCATAGGCACAGTGAGCACGTCCATAGGGCCCTCCCCAAGGAACAGGGTCAGCAGACCTGCCGACCCTAAAAATCCTTCACAAAGGGTGTTCACCTGTTATAATGAAACAAACGCTAGCTAGCTTTCGGAGCCATTTGACTACGGATGTGCTTTGCAGGACTAGCACAATCCAGTGCTGCCTGGTTGCCCCTCCACCCAGCACCTGGCCTCTTGGTAGGAAAAAAAAAAAAACAAAACCAAAGGGCCTGAGCAGAAGGTGCTCTCCACATTCCATCTGTTCAGGATTTTCAGATTCACACACATAGCTGCAAATGCCTAACCGGACTGTGCATTTGGGTCTGGCTGGTGAGGGCGGGACCTGTCCATCCCCTAACTTTTGGAGGATGTAATACTTCCTATAAAACACCACCAGGTTAATGCAACCATCATTTGTGGAGTGCTTGTTGGATGCCAGTGCTCTGGGCTAAGTGCACACATTCTTTTCAGG